ATGAAAGAAAAAGAAAAAAAGGTCCTGCACGGACAGCAATTACTGAGGAAGGCCCTGCCGTGGGCGCTTGTAAGCCTTCACTCGTGCAGTCAGCAGAGAGCGACAAGCGTCGACAGGCCGAAAAGCACAAGCGGCAGCGCCCGACCCCCGCACACCTGCACAGAGCTGTCCCCGGATAGCGCCCATGATGTAGCAGAGCCCCAGCTCCGGGGCTGTGCGGCGCGGCCAGCCGTACTCGGCGACTCCCCATCCTCCGTCTCAGCCTCATTCACGCCAGTTGCTCCACTCTCTCGCGTCGGCCTAGGCCTCGCAATCGCACCGCGCAATTCCACCTTTGCCGGAGTTAGCTCACCGGGAACGTCCGTGGCGAGACCCTCGACTCCGCGCCTTTCCTCCGAGGGTTTGCCTGCGCCGGCACCGCTGCCGTCAGTGGCGGCGCTGGCCTCCGCGGCCGGCTGCGCCTCCGCCGGCTCCTCGCCCGCAGCCGGCTGCGCTTCCACCGCCTCCATGCCCTTGTGCAGCGCCGCAATCTCGTCCTCGCTCAGCGGGCGGTTGTAAAGCATGACACTGGCCACCGTCAAGTCAGTCTCCATGTACGCCGTCGGTCCGCGGTGCGCGCCAAAGGTGACGTGCAGGCTGCTGGAAGAGTCCTTGCTGCGGTCCACCCTCGTTCCGCCCCCTGGCAGCGGCTTCCCGTCCACGTAGACGAAGCCCTGGCCGTCCCGAAGCGTCAAGGCCACGTGGTACCGCCTGCGCGGCTCCCACTTCAATGGCGCCAGGCGCGAGAGGTGCCCGTAGCGCGCCATCCAGTGCCGGTGGGTGGTGTACGCCAGCCCCAGCAGGCGCTTTCCCCCCTTCGCATCCAGGCCCACGCTCAGCAAGGGGATGTCCCCAGCCCGCGGATTGTGAATCAGCACAGTCGCCACAAGCGTGAATTCGTTGTTGGTGAACTTGTACTCTGCGGCCTCAGGCGTTGTGGCCACCGACCACAGCGCCCGCGCACCGTGCCCCTGCAGCCTGAGACCGCAGGGCGCCTTGAGCGCCTTCGTCACGGCCGCGCCCTCGCGGTGCAGGTCGTTCTCCCAGTACTCATCGGTGGCGTTGTCCGAGAGAAAGCCCACCAGGCCGTCCGTGTGGCCGGCGGGCCTGCAGGTCCGGTTTGACGAGGGGTACCGCAGGTACGAGGAGAGGCGGGAGCTCGAGGGCTGAGCACCCGACTTCTCCCACGCCGCAACGACAGACTTTACCCGCTGCAGCTCCGCGTCAAGGTCCTTCAGAAAAACGCTCGTCGAACTTCTCTGGCCCCTCTCGTGCAGGGAGAACAGCCGGCCGCCCGTGTAAAGCAGGGCGCTGGAGCCGGCGTTGGAAACGGGGTCGGATATGGGCCCGACGTCGACGAGGTTTCTGCTTGTTTGTTTGTTTTCAGTGTGCATTTATCCTGCACGTGCTCTACCATCAGTATCCCCCGCCTCCGTTCTTGCTCTAGGGCAGGCGCGCGCAGGGACGCCAAACATACTTCCCGATCGTTTCTTCCCGGATGCTCGGATGCTCGGGATGGGCACCACCGAAGGACTCGTTTTGGTTTCTGCCGACGTCAGAGGTGGGGCTTCTGTTTCCGGCTGTGATGACGC